AAAATGTGTTAAAGTATGTATAAAAAATAATGTAATACTTAAAAATGAAGAATATTTATTATAATTTTTATATAAGAATAATTTTTAAAAAAAATCTATTTAGAGTTGGATAGTCCAAAGCACGTACAGTGTCGGTCGTGCCGGTCTTCGATAATAATTTTTTTAGCCCAACCCTGAAAAGCTCAAGGCCTGTTAGGACCAACACGTTTAAATAAGATAATTTGTTTTGACAGTTCTAAGTGTCTCGCATTACTGGCGACTGCAATCTTCTTGCTTTTGATGGATTTTTACAATTATATTATATATATATATATATATATATATATATATATATATATATATATATATATATATATATATATATATATATATATATATATATATATATATATATATATATATATATATATATATATATATATATATATATATATATATAAAAGACATATCTTATGAGAATGTATATATATATAAAAGACATATCTTATGAGAATGTAATTTTTATATGAAACGTGAGTATGAACCATTAAATTTTAAAATAAATAATAGAGATTGTCTTTTGATTTTTGTTTTTCTCTCCTCTATTATTTATTTTAATAATAAAGGGGAGACAATATACTAGTGGTGGACATAATTTATAATTAATATTATAAATATACATTCTAATGTAAGTATATGGTAATGATTCGGTTAACCATTCACACTCATTACTAATAATAAATTTAATGTACATATTTTGATACCACTTTTGTGGACATCTAATCGTCCCATCTCTCAAAATACATTAAAATTTCAGATATTTTTTCTTCATTTTGTTGCACTCTTTATGTTATCAAAACCCTTTTTTTCTTTCCTCTTTTACTCGTCGGATTTTTTGAACATTTCTTAAAATTTTCTTCAAAAAATTAATTTTTTTTGCAAAAAACTTCTCTTCGAACAAAAAAAAAATTACGAATGATCTTACTCTTATAATTTTAGAATGTTTTATCGTGAGACTATGTGGTTATAATCTCTTTGCATAATTTTAAATAATATCTGCGAGATGTTTCCTAAAATTTTTCAAAATTCAAATCAAATCACTTCTAGTATAACTAACTAGATAGCGTAATGGCTTTCTATTTTCAACTAAGTTACTACTACTAGTTTTTCTCATCTCTAACTACTTCTTTTTGACTCAACCCCCTTCCCATTAACTACTTATTAATTATATTTGTTAAACTTTACAAGGTAGTACTTCAGGTCATATTGTTTGTTGGCCGGTCAGCAATTCAATTAAGACTGTCTTAATTGGTCAACAATGCATTGATCATTTATACCCTCTCTCTTTGCCACTTTTCATTTGCCTTTGTAATAACAATATGGTGAATTCTCCCAACCTATCTTAATGTTAATTAAATTCTTCCTTTTTGACTGACAAATTAAATGCAAAGGAGTAGCGTTAATGATATTAGTACTATTAACATTTGTTGAATTTCACTTTTAATGGTGAAATCATCAACACAAATTTTAATGTTGAATTAAAACAAGACTACAAGAGAGTATACATTGAGCCCTAAATCCATTATCCATATAGGTATCCTATGAGAATGATTTTGATGTATGTTGTCAGCTAATGTTGTTTTATATTGTTAATCAATTATAATTTATTATTTTTTTGTACAATTTTTAAATATAAATATATGAAAATCAAACATTTTTAATAAAGAAATTATTATAATGAATTTGAAAGATGTAGATCTAATGATGGATAAAATTAAGGATTTACACACGTTACATTGGTTGGATTGAGTTTGACCTAATTGATTACCAATAATTCCTACTTGAATGTATTGTTGTCATTGTTGGATATGTAATTTCACTTGGTTAAATTAAACAAATTTAATAGAATCATTTATGGATTGGATTGAATTATGTGTTATATTGTAAATAAAAAAGGGCAATTTTAAAAAATTGAAAGGCAATTCATACAATTATACATTTATTATTATTATTTTTTAACTGCTTGGTCTCGAAATTGATTTGGAAAAAAATAGGACCCTTAAAAAACTTGAGCTCTTTCTTTCTAAGAAGGGGTTTCTTAACTGTATTTGGTTCACAATTATTTAGAGCATCTTTAATATAGGTATTTAATAGTTAAATTTTTTATATGATAATAAAAAATTTGAATTGAAATGACTATAACATGACATTTAATTCACTAATTTTTAGTTTTCGACAATTATATAACTAACGTATGCTATTTTAAATCTTACAAATCATGACACAATTAAATTAATGGTAACTTCAATAAAAAAATAATTACAACTAAAAAATATAAAATATAGAGTCAAATTTTAATTTTTTATAAACAACTATCATTAAAGTAAAAACAATTCAAATCAACTATAAATTTTTTAAATTCTCCAAATCACTTTGGGCCTAAAAAAATATCTTAATTTACCCACTTAAGATACTTACACTAAAGATGCTCTTAGTGTATATGAAAATCTAAAAACTGGCGTTATTTTTAATAATATTAAGAGCGTAATAGAGAATATAATTTGGTACTACGTCAAGTTTTTGGTTTAAAAATCGCCGGTACAATATCTTGATTTATGTTTGAATCTGTTTCAAAGTTTATTTTAATAGCTGTCGTTGGTGGAGAATTTTTCTTCATCCTTTTCATTTTGTAATAGGTTAGAACACCTCTACTACTCTTTTCTAATAAAATTTATATTAAAAAGAATTATACATTTCATTATTTAAATTAAATAAAACACATTATATATTGTTTAATGAAATTTATTCATATATCATAACACTTAATAATAGTAAAAATATTTACAAAACATATTATTTCTAATAAATTGAAAATACTATATAAAAAATAATAATAAACAATACTTAATAATCAAATTACATAAATTTATTGATTTAATAGTGGTATTGATGGTGGATAAAACAATTTGACAAAAATTGTGCTTTGCACTAATATATTAATTTTCTATTTTTATTTAAAATTTTATTGATGTTACATAGATTGTGAAATTCAAATTTAATGCTCAATCCAAAACTATACAGATTATTGCGGAATAATTGAATATACCTATAAATTAGTATAATTTATAAATTAATTCAATTTTAATAATCAAATTCATAAATTAGTTTATACCGTAAATATATTTATTAAAGGTGTTTGCGGTGCGGTTTGAGCAATTTTGACATTAAAAATCATTTAAACTGCAAGAAAAAAAAACATGTTGTTCGGTTTGTTTCGGTTGACTTTTAAAAATATTTTGACATTAAAAATTATTCAAACTGCAAGAAAAAAAAAACATGTTGTTCGGTTTGTTTCGATTGGTTCTATTTTTTATAATATTTTTATTGAGTCATATATACATATAAAGAGAACAACATAATTTTGTATTTAGTCATTCATACATTACCAAATAACAAAAAAAGTCATCATATTTAAACAAAAACTTCTCATTTAATATACAAAAACCAGTTTAAACAAAAGTGGAAAAAATAGTAGTATAAAACAATATCAAAAATATTATAATAAAACAGAAAAAGTAGAGGAGAATGGAGATTAGAGAAGATAAAAAAGAAAGAACATAAGAGATGTGAGATTAAAGAAGAAACGTGCAATAAAAACATAATTAGACGAGAAAATAGTAACATAAAAATGAGAAGATGAAAAAGAAAGAACATGTGAGATGAGAGATTAATGTAAAAGAGGTGAGACGTACATGGTAAAGAAGATGAGAAAAATATGCAATACTATTATGAAAGGTTTAAGAAGGTTGAAACTGAAAAGCTAAGTGCGAATAAGAGAAAATATTTTATAATTGTAAAGTTAAGACATAATGGATTTGAGTTTTAAGTTAGAAGTGAGATAAGTGAAACTTATGTTGTAACATAAAGTGTTTGATTTTATTTAGTTCGGTTTGCAAAATATAAATTGTAAACTAAACCGAACTATACGGTTTTGTTAAAAGATGATTCGAACAAATCCGAATTAAATACAATTTTATGCAGTTTTGATTTAGTTTAATTTGTAATTTTTTATTAGTTTAATTTATAATTTTCTATTAGGTTGATTCGATTTTAAACACCTCTAACATTTACGTCCCACGATCACATCTATATGACATAGGAGATAAGGACATGATATTAAAGCATCATATCAAAGGCAAGTTAAAGTTATTTTACTTAATACAAATGTTTTTTTCTAAGATATATTTATTTTAATTTTGTCAATACGAAATATGACTATTTAAAGGCGAATCATAATGGTAGAAAAAGGAATGTTACTTATGGCTGATGCAATTTTTTGAACATGTTAATAATATTTTAATGTTTTTATTATTTTAAAAACACACTTAATTATTCGTTTAAAAATTAAATATATCTTTGAAAAAAGTAAAATAAAAATAAAATTTATTTTTACAAGAGAAACAAAGCTTACACTTTAGTGTTTCTGGTTTGTTTTTATTTTATGAAATAAATATTTTTGAAAAAATTAAGAATGCTGTTATATAAGAAAAAGTTAAGGCGAGGAGATGATTCCTACTATAAATAAGCAAACACTAAGATTAACCAAACTAATCACTAGAATATTTGTTGTTTCTCTCTAGCACTTTCTTTTTTACAAAAGATGTAAAATGTTGTCAAAAAGTAGTTTAGCCAATAATTTACAATATTACTGCCCGATCTCTTTTACACCATCAATATTCAACAACGTCATCAAAAAGGATTGTTTTTGAAGGTAGGTCAGAAAAACTATGGAATAATCAGTAGTACTGTTCACTATAACCAAATCTTTAATCCAAAAAAGAAGAAAAGTTCAGATTCTTCAAACATTAGAGCTCATATTGCAAGAGAAATTTAGAAAAGTACTATATAATAATAATAATAATAATAATAATAATAATAATAATAATAATAATAATATAACAAAATAATCATATAATGATACAAATTAATTAAACTTTATAATTAATTAAAACAGTACTGCACTAGACATTGAATATCTTGGTAAGAACTTGCAATGCATTAAGTTGCAACTTCAACTGCAAGATATGCTCCGCCGTCCTCAGAAAAAGTCCGTCCGCCTTCAACCCGTCGCCGCCCGGAATAATCTGTTGCAATTTCTTCATCTTCCGACTAACTGCCGTCTGTCTCCTCCTTCTCCTCAACTTCATCTTTGTCAAATCTTTACAACCACCCATGGCCATCAACAATAAAAAATTGAGTTAATTATAGATAAAAAATGTGATTAAGATTTTGAGAAGAAATAAAAAATTTGAGAGAAAGATGGAAAGAAAATCAGATGAAGATGAATGGAGAATGAGGGCATGAAATGAGGAATGGGAAGGGATATAAATGGATGTTGGAAAAAGGAAAGAGGAAATAATGAGTTTGGGAATGGGCCATGTGAGCCGAGCCGAGCTGAGTTATGATTTGGTTTTGCACGCTTGGTTTAGTGAGACTTAGTTTGGCGTGTTTTGGGGCGGTGGGCCCAGTTCATGTTTGGCTGTAGCGCCCCACACACGTGTCTGACAGCTTCTTAAACTTCTTCCTGCTTGGCTCGCGCCACCCATCCCACGTATAAATTCAATACTACATTTATTACTATTATATCTTAGTAAATACATACTCCTATAAAAACCTCGTTTCAAACTTTAATTTATAATATTGGACTCCTGTAAAAGATTGTCGTCTTAGTTTTAAGAAGAGCTTGCAATGAACCGGATTAATTCGAAAATAGTTTGAAATTCAATTTGATAATTAAATTGTTGAACTAGATTTATTAACCAAATGATCTAAATTTTAGCAAAATTATAAGTTCGTTAACTAAATGAGTTGAACTTAAATTATACATATATAATTCGACTCGTTATATTTATGAGTCAACTCGATTATATATGATAATTATTACATTATCTTTAAGAGTAGGTTTAAAGGTTTACTACAAATTTTAACCCCATATTGTTTTTTTCGTACTAGTTATGGCAGTACAGTTGACAATTATATTTAGAGTCATCATTGCTGAAAGCATGATGTCATTTGCTAAAATAACATGTTTAATGAAGATTGCAAGTGGTGTAATCATTTTGTGATGAAAATGTATCGACTTTTAGTAATTTTGTGTGTACTCTTTCATAAAATTTGTAAGGTTCTTAAATATTTAAATGAAATAATGGATTTTTGAGACAAATTTAAAATGCAGTTTTTTAATTAGGCTCTCAAATATATTTTTTGAAAGTTTTGTAGTTTTTGAATCAATAGATTTTTGATATGAAGTTAAATTTCAATATGATAACTTTTATCTTATTTTAATATATTTTTTTTAAAGAAAATATTAATTTTAAATTTTAAATATATAAAAAAAATAGATTTTAAAAAATAATTTTTATGTTCGTGAAGCAAGTGAACTGAACCTAATGAGATGAACCTAACGAGTTGAACCGAATTGTTCATGAACTTATAACGAGTCCAGTTTGAGCTAAAAAAAAGTTCGTGTCTAACTCGAACCGATATTTGAGCTAAACAAATTCTTAACGAATCGAGTCGAACTGAGGCGAGTTTGACTCGACTCGACTCATTTTCAACCCTGTTTTAAGGGATACTCTCTCCGTCTCTCCGATTTTGACTATAAACTATTTTGGAGAAAAATTATGAATTAAATTATAAGTCATTTTAAATATTAAAAAATTATTAATATTATTTTTTTAACTTTTAAATATTTATTATATATTTTTCTTGTATTATTAATAAATAAAAATTTGAAAAATTTTATCATAATTTATAATTAATTACAATAATAATTATATTTTTAATATGTTTAAAAATTAAAAACAATTTATAATTAAAAAAAAAGTACATATTAAACTATTGCAAAAATACTCCAACATTAATTTTTAAAATATAAAAATAGTTTTTTCCTCAAACACACAACAACAACAACAACTCACCACAACAACAGCCTTACCATAACCCATACATGCCACCAAATGCCCAACATCAACAACAACACCCTTACCATGAAGTATTTTTGCAAACTCTTTCCAATGACCGACACTCCACTGTGAGTCCAATGCTGACACATCTCCTTTACAAACTCCTTCCAATGACCGACACTCCACTGTGAGTCCACCCGTTGCTGATGCCACTGTCCCAATGAAGTCGGAGCATCTGGAATATCCTGATGCATCCCAAACTGTAGCTTCACCCGGTCACTTTGGTGCATCTCCATCGTAGTGAACCTAATGATGAGTATATTTGATGTCGACACAGCAACATCATTGGCGTCGGGCTGGTGGTCGAAACCCTCGTACGACATCCAGCCAAACTACAATAAAGGTAGATAAATTAAGTTAGACAAGTTTATGCATATAAGTTAGACAAAGTAAAGGAAGATAAATTACATCGTTTGGCCCAATGTGTTCGACGAGGTTCTAGTACACGATTATGAAGTTCCTGGGACATCTTTGATAATTCATCCCAAAACAGACCACCTAAATAAAAAGAAACACAGATAAGCTAGACTCTAAGACACATCTTACAAATTATTAACTTACAATAAAACTTTGGTTGTTAAATAGTCTTGAAAAGAAACTTACTTGTTAGCGTATGGGAATGTAAACGGATTATGGTTTACTAGAGCAAGCGTTGACATCCTAGACCAACCCCACGCTTGAAGGAGATAGGCGCAGTCATAAAAAGTACAGGAATTTTTTTTTGGAATTTTTACACAGTGCACTGTATAGATGGGCGAGGACAGCTGATCCCCAACTATATTTGCACACTTTGTTTATGTTTTGTAGCAATGGTAAATACATAATATTTATGGTATTTCCAGTGTCCTCTGGAAATAAAAAATGACCAAACAAAATCATAATATAGCATCGAGTTTTGAGTATTTTCTCATACTCGGTGGACTCTTCACTTAAGACAATATTGTTGTAGTGTTGTCTGAGGTATTTAAGATTTATTCCCTGACTCCTTGGACGACTCTCGCGTTCTGCCTCAATTGTGTCCACACAAAGAGGGGCGCCCAATAAATCTTTGCAAAATTGGTCGTTAAAACCAACTTTGCCGTTGACGGCCTTACCATTGATGTGTAGGCCAAGCAACATGTAGACATCTTGAAGAGTCACAGTACACTCACCGAAAGGTAGGTGAAATGTATGTGTCTCTGGTCTCCAGTGTTCTAACAACGCTAGAATGAACTTCGCATCAAGTGAGTATGATTTGATTTTAATCAATCACCAAACCTGCAATGTTCAAGGTATCCCTCTATGAAAGGGTCGTGTGGTATGTAGTCATGCACACAATATCGAAACCTTGATGCATCCTGCAAAAGACATTAAGTGTCGTTAGTTTTAAATGAGAACTAAAGATCGTAAACATAGACAAAAAAAATACTTACAAACTCGGCGATGTTCTCAACTGTGCCTCTGTGAGAGTTTCCCATTGTGAGTAGAGACATTGTGGTTTAAGAATTTGTTAGGTGAAGAAGAGTTTGAGAGTTGGGATGAGAAGATTTTGCTGGGATGAGCAGAGTTTGAGAGTATGAGGATGAGAAGAGTTTGCTCGTATGTTAAGAGTTTGAGAGTATAAGGATGAGAAGAATTTGTTGGGATGAGACGAGTTTGATAGTTAAAGAACCTTTATTTATAATCCACGAATGCATGTGACCTGTAAATACATGTAGAGCAAGCGTAAATAATGCATATGACTTGTAAATGCATGCAGAGCAAGTGTCAATAATGCATGTGACTTGTAAATGCATGCAGAGCAAGTGTCTTGATGCATGTGAGGCGTGCAACTTTAGTCTTATCTTAGAAGTGCATGTTGTGGTGTTTTCATGCATCCAGAGTGTCGTCAGGCATGCAGAGGACATGCATTAAGGGAGGCGTGCAGGTCTAGTCTTGTCAAGCATGCTGCAGGCGACTCAAGTATAATACTACAAGTAACGTCAAACATTTAATTTCAAAAATGCATTATATGGTGTTCAGTTATAACATTTTCAACCTCTTCTTCTTTTTGGGTTAATAAATGTAAACATAATATTTTTAATGTTACTATTCTTTTTAGTAAGAATCTCATAGGCCTGTAGGGTCATGGTAGGCATGCAGGGAATCAGTTGTTGTAGATAGAGTGCAGATCTAGTCTTGTCAAGCATTAAGGGAGACGTGCAGGTCTAGTCTTGTCAAGCATGCTGTAGGCGACTCAAATAAACTCAGTTGCGTCTTCTATTAAAACTTACTCGTTATTAGGTTTAATATATTTTTAATTAGTAAGAATTTAATAATAATATTGAGTTAATAAATGTAAACATAATATTTTTAATGTTACTATGCTATTTAACGTCAAACATAATACTACAAGTAATGTCAAACATTTAATTCAAAAATGCATTATATGGTGTTCAGTTATAACATTTTCAACCTCTTCTTCTTATTGGGTTAATAAATGTAAACATAATATTTTTAATATTACTATTCTTTTTAGTAAGAATCTCGTTGGCTTGCAGGGTCATGGTAGGCATGCAGGGAATCAGTTACTGTAGACAGAGTGCAGATGGTAGCCAGAGTATTGTCTTGTCAAGCAGTTCACTGTGGCGCACAGAGTGTTGTCTTGTCTTGTTTTGTCGTGAAGCTCACCAAATTGTTATTAATACAGTAGAAAGATCTGTATTATTATCATATCAATTAGTAAAACAATCTTTCCAAACACAATTTTCGCTATGTCTCAAACACCACAATACATGATTTATGCACATCTTAACGGTGAAGTTTTTGAATCTGACATAGTGGGTTACAATTTCAGAAACACTGATGTTACGAGATTTTTAATTGACAGAAGGTCAAATTTTTTACACTTGAAATCAAGATTAGAAAAAAATTGCAATGTGGTCCAGTTGGCCAAATAATATATAAAAATCCAGTGTTTTTTGGGGGGCATGTTGAATGCAAATTTTTCCCATTAAAGGTTCGAGACGATGAAGATGTGCGTAACATGTTCCGCAGTCACGAGCATTTTGGTTTCTCAGATATCGTGTTACATGTTACGTTACAACAATAACAACTGTCTCAACAACTTGATTCTTCTCAAGTTTTTTGCGAATCAGATGAGGAACACGCTGAAGTCGATGTCATTGACGAAGAAGAAGAAACAGCTGAAGCCACTGTTGACGAGATGGTGAACAATGAGGAAGAGGGGGTTCCAC